CAAGCCTGGTCTACATAGTGAGTTCCAGGACAGCTGGGGCTACAGGGAGACCCTGTCTCAAAAAGACCAAAAATAAATAATAAATAAATAAATAAAAAATAAATAAATTAGTGTGCTTTGTTGTGGACAAGTTATAATCCTATGTCCCCTATCAGTTAACATTTGTTTTAGGCTCTTCGCTATTGTCAAACAAATAATTGGAATTATCACTCCATTTGACCCCTGCCCTGTCTTCCTCTCACGTTAGTGGGAGAACTCCTCCTAGTCTCACAAGTGTTTCTCTGTGTATTGAATTAGCGCATGCTCCTTAAGAGCTCTCATCATGCTTCCATCAGCTTGCCATCGTTGCCAGTAGCTAACACCATGCCAGGCATATCTGAACAGTCAATAAAGTGGGCTTCATTAAATAAGAACACACCATAACAGAAGAGAACTAAAGAGATGATGAAAACAAGGTCCTTTATTTCATTGATTCTGCTACTGAGGTCCAAAGAGGGGAACAGAACTGACCAAGGCAAAATAATGTTAGACCAATCTTCTCTCCAGGGGGTGAGGTGGACACCATTGAGTTGTAAGTGGGCACCATCAATGAGTGTTCATTTGGCAGTTGTTTTTCACTGACAGAACCAACAGCTTAAGGAAAGAGAAGTTATAGATGAAGACAGAAATCTCCTCAGCACTTCCTTGTGCTGTGTGTTGGTGCATCTTATCTCCACTGAGGACCTAAGGTGGTCAACAGCTGTGGGGAAAGAACAGGATAGTAGAGGCTTATGATGGACTTTGTGGCACCTGATCAGACAAGGTGGCTGAGGACTATTAGAATGAAAAGAGGGGCTGGAGAGATGGCTCAGAGGTTAAAAGCACTGGCTGCTCTTACAGAGGACCCAGATTCAATTCCTAGCACCTGCATGGTGGCTAACCACAGTCTGTAACTCTAGTTCCAGTGTATCCAGCGCCCCCTTCTGACTTCTTCAGGCATTGCATGACATGGGTACACTTACATACATGCAGGCAATATATGGATACACATAAAATAAAAATAACAAATCAAATAAATTTTTAAAAAATATTTTTTATTTTTATTTTTATTTGTCTTTTTGAGACAGGGTCTCCCTGTAGCTCCAGCTATCCTGGAACTCACTATGTAGACCAGGCTGGCCTTGAACTCACAAAGATCCGCCTGCCTCTGCCTCCCAAGTGTTGGGATTAAAGACATGCGCCACCACACCCAGCCCTATTATTTTTATTTTATGTGTATGCGTGTATTGCCTACGTGTATGTAAGTGCACCCCTGTCATGCAATGCCCGTGGATGACAGAAGAGGCCCTTGGATCCCCTGGAACTGGAGTTACAGACAGTTGTTAGCTGCCATGTGGGTGATGGGATTTGAACCCGGGTCTTCTGCAAGAACAACCAGTGCTCTTAAACGCTGAGCCATCTCTCCAGCCCCAGTAAAAAATTTTTTTTGAAAAAAGATAGGTAGGTAAGTATTCAGGGTGGGCAGGTGAATTGAGGACATTTCTAAAGATGGTAACCAATACAGAACAAAGCATTGCTTTGTAATTAAAGAGAAAGACAGCAGTTAGGAATAGCCATGGAGAGATCTTCAGTATTAGGTAAGCAGTGACATAGAAAAACAGGAGCTGAAATTCCAAGACTCTAAATCCTGTCCTCATTTACTTGGTCTCTAAACCATAACAAACCCTAGTTTATTTACATGAGAATGTGGGAGTAACAGTGTCTACCTCATATGATTATGGACCAAGTTCACAGTCAATGGTCTAAAAATCATTAGGCAGAATCTATGAATCTGGATGGCCGAGGGCTGCTAAGTGAGCCAAACAGAAAATTTCCTGGGCAGTCAGGAGGAGAGGGTGTTGAGGGAGACAATCAGTCCTTCCCAGCCTTGGTCCCCTCCCTTCCTTTGTGTTTAGTCTTCTGATATATCGGTGTAATGTAAAAAAAAAAAAAAAAGGGCTCTTGTTAGAGTGACTTCCTAGAAAGGAATCTTTTCTCTTTGCTTTCCCTCCAGGACGGAGGGATACACTTTGCGAGAGGCCGATCCTCCCCTCAGAACCCCCTGAACCTATACTTTACGGCAGCATGGCAGTAGGGGCTGTGTCACTAGCAGTTGCCAAAACCAGTGCCAGGCTGGCCAGTATTCCTCTGTACTTGAACATCGCGTTACTGAAGCACAATCAGGTTAGTGACTGTCACAGCCCACCACTGCAGTGAGCCTGGAGTGTGTCGGCACGAATCTAACTTTCCTTGCTTCCCGGGCATTTCAGGAGCATCCAATGACATTCACTATGCCTTTGCTGATGGGAACTGTGCTAAGCTGTGGGAAGTCATCACCTGGGAAGTTAAACTTAATGAAAGAACTGATTTGTATACCCCATCCTGGACTAACAACCAAACAGGTACCTTACATCAGCTGAGACTACTTTTCCTATAAAAAACTAAAAAATATTCCATCATCGGTGAATGTTTAGTACAGCTTCTTTATGATACTATGGAAGAGGGAATTAAATATCTGAAAAGGTATTTTAGGAATTTAAGAAAGTGGGAAGAAAGCCAGAACGCCAGCAAAAGGAAACAGTCCATCTTAGAGGTCTGGTTCTTATAGCACTGGCTCACTCTAGTGATTCATGGGAATAAGCAACGCTTAGGGCCTCAGTTGTGCAAGGAGGCTATTATCTGGGGCAGCGAGAGGGTTTTTATATACTGGTTACGCACTGTATTTATTGGCAGTAACAAATAGAAGCCAGGGCTTCCCAACTTAACTGGAGTTGAGCATGAACTCCAGGCTGGCAGATGGCACATGAAGTGCACATTTGTGGAATAACTGAATCCTCTGTCAAATATTCACTTCTCAGGGGTGTGCAGGTGATGTCTACAATGCCCTTAAGAGTCAATAAACCCTTTGAGACCTAACGAAATGTTCTGCCAATTAGACATCAGGGATAATTATTAAAGGTTCCTCTTCTGTGGTGTATACTTTTAGAAAAAATACAGGAAGCTACCCCTTACCCATCTTGTAATAGTTAGTGGAAATAAGTTGGTGAAAGAAAAGTCACTCGACCTCGGGTTTTCTCTGTGATAAAGAATTCTTTTAAAACACAATCATGAGACTGGAGAGATGGCTCAGTGGTTAAGAACACTGGCTGTTCCTACAAAAGACCCAAGTTTGAATCCCAGCACCCACATGGCAGCTATCAACCATCCATAACTCCAGTTCCAGGGGATCCTATGGCTTCTTCTGACCTCCATGGTTGCACGATATGGGTGCACTTACACACATTCAAGCAATATACTCATATACATAAAACAGGATAATGAAAAGGAATGAGGGAGGTAAAGGAAAAGAACCTGAAAGAGAAGAACAGTAGGAAACAGGTGTTAATAAGGGAGATATGAATAAAAATGGGGTTATTTTAAGGGGAGGGGGAGGGAAGGTTATACAAGGAACCTAGGGGATAAAGGGAAAGAAGGAGCTCAAGAGAGGTGGGACCATAGGAGAAGGGTATTAGTAAGGGAGAAATAGGAAAAATGGGGGCACCTTAAATGGGGAAACCATGGTGGAAAGGTTAGACAATGTGAGCGATAAATAATGCCTAGCTAGTTTTAAAAAAAAATCAGAGGGAACCATATTAGTCCAAAAACCTACTGATAGATTATAGATACAACTAGATCAAGGAATATAATATCTGTCTAGGCAAGGTTTATCTGAGAACGTTTGGTCTTTGTCCAAGCTTTATCTACATGGCACATGGCAATTAAAAGTACCAGACTAGTGGAACTAACCTTCTTGGATGTTTAACAGACATACTTTGAGGCCTATACTAATTTGGTCAGAGGGACATAAAGGACAGTTTTGGCTCCTTGCCCTCCTAGTTGACTAGTTCCAGGGGACTATGAGCATCTCTCAAAATGTCCTGTAACTGTGGTGAGTCACCTGTTCTCTTGATCAAGGAAGCCGTCAGATGGACTTGAACCAATGTCCAATCTACAAAGAGGAGGGTCAACACAGAGAAAACATTCCCTCCATGCTTCCAAGCAAAGCCAACCATGGTCGAGCAGGACCTTTGACTTATCTTCACATAGACAGAACTGGTAAAAGAAAGGAGCCTCCTCCCCAGCCCATGTGACCCCTGAGGAACAGATCCTCAAACGACCTTAAGAGTAAAATAAATTGGTTTATCTGGGCCAACTGTAGGGTCTTAAACACCAAAAAGGAAAGTATAACCAAAGATTAAAGGGGTCAATGTAATTTTTTTAAGAGTCCATATGTATAGCTAAAGGCTACATAACAAGAAACAATGCCAGACAGGAGATACCTTCCTTTGAGTTGTTGGCCAGGGTGGCCTAAGAGACTCCCAGACAGTAACCCAGCATAGAACTGGGAAAATGAACAGCAGACCCCAATCTTTATCTAAACGAATATTGACAACTGATTGCTGCTAAATGAGGAACAGCTGATCTAAAACAGGCTCCTAAAACAAGGCTCTCTAGATAGACTGACTAGATTCAGTAGATAGACAAGCACTGGGGAACAGCTAGGGGTGGTGACTATGGACAGTAACAGGGATGACAGAGTATATGGGCTCCAGTGGGGGACGGGGAGGCTATGGGAGGGTGCCATTTGGGAAGTGGGTATATAGATGAATAAGATTGTTTGGGATGTTCTGTATGATATACACACAAAAAATCAACAAATTTTTTAAAATTAGTTATATTTGAGGAGGAAGCATAAAAACTGACTTCATGTTAATTAGTAGAGGTGATAAACATTACCATTGAAATCTACCTGATGACTTTATATCCATACTCAGGTG